AGTGCCCCCAGCATGGAAAAAACAACTTACAGGGGAGTCACTCATGAGCAGATGTAGCAAGTTTAATGCATCAACCACAAAACACTCTACATGTCTCTCTAAATCTGGATCTCCTTGTCACCAGCTGGCAGGTTTAGGCAAGGCTTCCTGCCAGGTCAGGAGAAGAGCTGCCACCAGCTCCAGGAACTCAGCCCAGGCCTGGGGGCTGCAGGATCCAGAGCTCAGCCTTGGGATCCTGCTCTGCACCCTGAAGCCCCCAGGCCAGGGCTGAGCTCCAGATCCTGTGGCCCCAGCACTGGAACTGGCTGGTCCCTGTATGTGCTCCCACCACAGAAGCAATTAGTGGCACTTGTTAAGTACAAGCGGGGCCTGGTCAGTGTCTGAGGAGGCAGCAACTGCCTGGACAGGCGGGAAAAGGAGCCCGGGATGTCTGCAGAGTGAGGAACTGGCCAAATGTTTGCCCACGTCCTGCTGTGGACTATATCCAGCTCCCAGCCAGGGAGGGGGATCTGGTACACCTCTCAAGATTTCCCCTAACAGCACGTAACATTTGAGTTTTTTTTTCTATTATTTTTTTTTTCTTTTTTCTTTTTTTTTTGGTCTTTTTAAAGGAGAGCAGGTACAAAAATAAAAGAAATCCATATACTCTGAAAATATACTGGAAACTGCCACCACAGATGAGGTACCATTTATCCCACCCCCACCCCCCCCCCCCCCCCCCAAACTGCAAACATCAAAATATATGTTTTTAAACAAAGGAAGAATATCTGGCTATTTAATCTCAGTTAAAATGACAGCACCCTTTGTTACACTTGATATTTCACACCATTAATTCTCTTTTGAAAAAAAAAACGAAACAAAACCAAGATATCTAACTAACCTTGATTCCTTGCTTATCTCCTCATTCCTTAGTGCAGTAATTGTCCATCTCCACTTAAATAAATATAGCAGCTACAGCATCAATGTGTGGCCCTCACAACGCCAGGAACTTGATATTGTAATACAAAGAAGTATCGGCACTTTACGTAGATATTTGCAAAACCAAGAATAGAGATTAAAACTTCCAAATACTCTTCACATGAAAACCAGGTACAACGCTAGCTCAGCAAGTCATTTAAGTCACTTTCCCAATGAAGTTTCTTCAGTTTGCTTTTTGGTGAAAGCAGCAAGCAAAAAAGCTTCTCCAATCAGTGTCACTGAGCAGGGTGAGAAGGAGACAGTGTCTTTGAAAGGAGAGTTAAAAGACTTTATAAAGGAATTATCATCTAAACGCCAGAAATCCACAAGAAGTCTTTGTAAAATAGTAAAAAAAAAGAATCTCCATTTTAAAACAATTTTCTATAAAAAGCCTAACCTGGACCTTTTATAAACAGAACTCCTAGCTAGAGTGCTTCTGAGAGAGAACTGACGGGTCACGGACCAAGAAAAACATGGGAGAGACTTCCCTGGAAACCACCTTGCTCCAATTATTTTGTGACACTCACCTCCCTGCAGCAGGTTTCCCTGAAGGTGTGGAAAGGGAAGTGCAGGGAGAAGGCAAAGACTTGTCAAAGACACCCCCCCAGGGGCTGGAGGTGAAGCTGAGGAAGGCTCCCAGATCCCAGGGGGTCCCAGACCCAACCCAGGGGGTCCCAAACCCCACCCCAATCACCCTCCCACCTTCTCTCCAGGGACCCACAAGCCATGGGCCAACTGCCCACCATCACGACTAGTTCCAGTGCAACCTTAACTTTGAAAATTGAGTCTTTTTACATTATCCTCCTTGATATTGGGAGATAAAATATGTATATACACCAAGTGTTCAGTAAAGCTCCTTGAGACAGCGTTGTGAACAGCACTAGGTACATTTCCATACAATATACAAATGCACAAAATACAGTACTTTGTTTTCTGGCAGAAAAAATGGTGGGGATTCATACCTGTCGAAGCAAAACGGGCTCAGATTTTAGGCTCAAAAGACAGTATATTGGCAAACAGTGGATTTCATGAGGATGCCAGGAGATAAGCTACTCTCATACCAACCCACTGGTTTTCATGTGGAGAGCAGGTGGAGCTCAGAAGGGCTGGGATAACAGCAATGCCCATACAAACAATCTGCAGTATATATACTATGAACCAGTGCAAATAAAAACAGTCAAAAATGCAGTTCACGAGCCCCCCCCCAAACTGCAAACATCAAAATATATGTTTTTAAACAAAGGAAGAATATCTGGCTATTTAATCTCAGTTAAAATGACAGCACCCTTTGTTACACTTGATATTTCACACCATTAATTCTCTTTTGAAAAAAAAAACGAAACAAAACCAAGATATCTAACTAACCTTGATTCCTTGCTTATCTCCTCATTCCTTAGTGCAGTAATTGTCCATCTCCACTTAAATAAATATAGCAGCTACAGCATCAATGTGTGGCCCTCACAACGCCAGGAACTTGATATTGTAATACAAAGAAGTATCGGCACTTTACGTAGATATTTGCAAAACCAAGAATAGAGATTAAAACTTCCAAATACTCTTCACATGAAAACCAGGTACAACGCTAGCTCAGCAAGTCATTTAAGTCACTTTCCCAATGAAGTTTCTTCAGTTTGCTTTTTGGTGAAAGCAGCAAGCAAAAAAGCTTCTCCAATCAGTGTCACTGAGCAGGGTGAGAAGGAGACAGTGTCTTTGAAAGGAGAGTTAAAAGACTTTATAAAGGAATTATCATCTAAACGCCAGAAATCCACAAGAAGTCTTTGTAAAATAGTAAAAAAAAAAAATCTCCATTTTAAAACAATTTTCTATAAAAAGCCTAACCTGGACCTTTTATAAACAGAACTCCTAGCTAGAGTGCTTCTGAGAGAGAACTGACGGGTCACGGACCAAGAAAAACATGGGAGAGACTTCCCTGGAAACCACCTTGCTCCAATTATTTTGTGACACTCACCTCCCTGCAGCAGGTTTCCCTGAAGGTGTGGAAAGGGAAGTGCAGGGAGAAGGCAAAGACTTGTCAAAGACACCCCCCCAGGGGCTGGAGGTGAAGCTGAGGAAGGCTCCCAGATCCCAGGGGGTCCCAGACCCAACCCAGGGGGTCCCAAACCCCACCCCAATCACCCTCCCACCTTCTCTCCAGGGACCCACAAGACATGGGCCAACTGCCCACCATCACGACTAGTTCCAGTGCAACCTTAACTTTGAAAATTGAGTCTTTTTACATTATCCTCCTTGATATTGGGAGATAAAATATGTATATACACCAAGTGTTCAGTAAAGCTCCTTGAGACAGCGTTGTGAACAGCACTAGGTACATTTCCATACAATATACAAATGCACAAAATACAGTACTTTGTTTTCTGGCAGAAAAAATGGTGGGGATTCATACCTGTCGAAGCAAAACGGGCTCAGATTTTAGGCTCAAAAGACAGTATATTGGCAAACAGTGGATTTCATGAGGATGCCAGGAGATAAGCTACTCTCATACCAACCCACTGGTTTTCATGTGGAGAGCAGGTGGAGCTCAGAAGGGCTGGGATAACAGCAATGCCCATACAAACAATCTGCAGTATATATACTATGAACCAGTGCAAATAAAAACAGTCAAAAATGCAGTTCACGAGTTTACAAAGTGCAAAACTCCCCAGTCCCCTCACTGAATAAATGCTCATCTCTGACATCTTAAATATTGTTTTACCTTTAAAGTGGAATGAAAAGAGTCCCATTGATTTGTTTCACATTTCAGTGATTTAACATGTTAGAACTATCCCAGCCCTCTTTATTTGCAAAGTGAAATGAAGTTACCAATAACTTAATTTTAAAAGGAAAGTCATTATCAAAGAGGAAAAAAGCATAAAAAGTTTTATTAATTCCTGACATTTTACTGATGTCAAATAGATTTAACTAAGCACGTAAAAACTTAGATCTTAATAAAAAACCCTTTCCATTTAACTCAAATATATCCTCCACATTTCAAAGCCAAAAATATGGACAATTCCTTTGTTAAATCAAAATATTGCAGTGACAAGTAAAGCTCGAGGAATTCTAGAAGCATTTTTGCTATTTTTTTGATTTAAAAAAGGAAAATTCAAGATTCCTTCTGACTATAAAACTTTCCTTTCAAAATTAAGGCTTTTACTTTGTCCTTTTAAAATCATGGAGGTGTCCATTCTTCCACAGTTAGTGGTACAAACACTGCTTTAGTACAGCTCAATGGACACAGTTTTCCTTTAGAACGCTTATTGCACTAAAAGATAGCAAAACAAGTTGTCAGTTTTTTAAAAAATAAACATGGTTACATTTCTAAAAAATAAAAGTTGATGTTGACCATATGTTCTGTAATAATTAAATTAAAGCATTATTATTACTCTAATAAATATAAAAGAAATAAAAGGAAGCTAAACTTCAAAAACACATACATATGAAATCACATTAAGGTGTGAGAGGCAGCAAGTAAACTAGCATTTTTCTTTTTTCAGAAAGACCTTAGCTCTAAAGTTTCAGTTCTGGTGTTTACTACATGTAATCCCATAAAACCTGGGACATTTGATCTCACGTGAAGCTTCAAGATATTTGACTTGCCAGATAGAAAATAATTGAAACTTTTGGACTAGGTAAAACAGCAGCTTTAGGAAATTCACCAGGGAGCAAGAACAGTTTGGGTCACTACTGCCTGCACATGAACCACTAGCTTCTTTGCTTTTTAGAGGGGAACTGTTGGAGCCCAGAACTCCAAAGCTGTGAAGAAAGACACAAAGGCAGCAGTTGGCTAAATTAGGTTCAGATTATTGGATTAGTGTGCAACGCATCTTTCCCCTCAATTTTTTTTCTAGTTAGTGCTGTACATACAAATGTACTTGGATATGTTCACATCTGAATGTTTGATGGCATCACTGAGAGAAAGATTCCTCAATGCAGTGGGGTAAAAAACTTCGCTATTTTTTTTGCACACTTCCCTCCTCCAAACAATCATTGAGATTGTTCCTAGAAAGGTGGTTTGTTGGGTTTTTTTTAAATCACACTATTGATTTTTTTTTGCAAAGGTAGTTGTGCTGCCCAGCAACTTGAGGTAAAGGCATAAGAGGGTTAAACTACGAAAAATAAACAAAGAAAGATGATGGCGGTGCCTCCTGGAGGAGCCCGCGCCAAAAAGCAGTTGGCTGGTTTCATATTGCATAATAGTGCTGTGTTCCTCGATGAAGTAAACAATCTTCCTTGTGTCAATTTAAGGGTTAAGCCTCTCCCCCCTGCACAGTGTCAGCTCCAGCAGGGTGGGAGGCACAGCCCATAAACCAACCCCGCCGGGAACATACATTGTATGTGGCTTTAGTTTCAGTTCTTCCTCCCGGTAAGCACGCGCCCCTCTTAGTGACTTAAGCGAAGTACATCGTGCGTAAGGTGTCTTGGTGAATCTGTACAGCCTTCGCCAGGGCCTGGGGGTCTCTCCCATTGCTCTGTCCTGAAACATGGCTTCCTTCAGCACTGCAAGACAGACCAGCAGGGCTGTAAATCATGTTAGTTTGGATCAAAAAGCTGCCGTCACATCTCAGTGTTCAGCACAGCAACATGGCAACAGTGATGGAACTGGATGCTGAAAAAAACTACTTGTGTACTCCCTCAGCAACCTCAAGGCCTTTGACAAATCCCTCTACCTTGCTGCTCGTTAGTTAATCTAAAAATAAGCCTGTTACAAATATATTGATGGCTGGAAGGTTATAAAATACCTCTGACGTAGAAAGCAGTCAATTAAGTGGGAAGCACTTAACATTTGCTTCACTCATGGCTACTCTACTTCCAGAGCAAGAATCTAAATGCATGGCTTGATTCCCTCAAACTATGTCAAAGCAATAACAGAATACTTTATTGAAATAAATTTAGTTCTTTTAATCTCAGTGCTGTTCACTAGAACCCACCAGCTCACCCTTGTCCAATGCTGAGCAGCAGCTGTCAGCAATGGTGACCTTAAGACTAGTCCCAGGGGTAAGAAAAATTCACTGCCAGTCGAGCAATAACTATTTATAGCCCAGTGGCTTTATGCCTGACAATGAAGCAAAGACCAATGGAGACAAAACCACGTCCATTTACCTGTCGTGTTCTTTGTCCACGAGATGGTATCGTGCTCTGAACGCCACCAGGTGAGCGTAATACGCCGGCGCGGGAATAGAAACCGAGCGCGTGCAGCGCACGTAGGTGTGGCAGAGCTGGTAGGTCAGCAGCTGGAGCTCATCTGCAGTGAAACAGTTATCATCCCACAAGACATGATAGTGTGAGGGACGGCTGGTACCCTGAGAAGAAGGGAACAACAATTCACTTATCTGCTTTTTCCATACAATCAAGTCAGATCTTTACATTCAGAAAGGCCCAGACTGTCTAGTCTGAACAACCGTATTGCTGTGGCAACACCCCCACACTGGTGGGTTTAATTTCCACAGCCTGTAATTCACCAATCTGCATTTAGTCAGCAAATCATCAAACATTGCCTTCAGTCTTTCAAACTATTTACATTTGAAAACTCAATTCAATGCCAATTTAGTTGTGGCTAAAAATCAAAGGTAGCAAGTTTTATTTTCAGAAATAACAAAGGTACAAAAAAGTGACCTTTTAAAAATAAACTTTAAAAAGTATCACTTACTATCAATACAAGTTTTAAAAGGTGCAGCAGACCAGCTCTCAAGCAAATAAGACTATTAGTCCCACAATAATGTGATATCTCAGATAAAACTGAGCTCAGTGACATTTCCCTACTAATTAACTTTGTAAACACAAGTGTCACAAAAGGGAGAAGACAAACATGTTGTATATACATATTCACTTACAAAGAAACAATCATACCTGTATTCCAGCATGGCTACAGAGGTAAAAATCAAACTCATAGGGATGTGTAATGTCTGTATCCACAGTTGTCCCAGCTGGAATATTGCCACTGCGTCCAACCTAGGGAAAAGGTTCTGTTAACAACTGCAGCCACCAACTCAACTGTAACATCTCAGCTGTAATTAAAAATACAAGTTTCTATTAAACACATGCAAGGTTTCAGTGAATGAGCTGCCTCAGTGCTGCCTGGAAAGCAGCACTACAGCAGCCAGGGATGTTTGGCAGGGACACTGCATGGCTCTACCATCTCACCACAGAACACTACACCTACAGCACTTTGAGACTTTAAATGTAAATGTGTGTGCAGCTCTTCTGCCTTTCTGAGATTTGTATTTGTCAGCTTGAGTCTGCATCAACATGCTCAGAGAAACAGAAACGTTTAGGGGTTTTATTTGTGGGGGTTTTTTATTAAATTGCTGTAGACCTGCTCCTAGTTAGTTCCATCACTAGTGGCTGCAGGTATCTGACAAACACTGTTGGTGTGTGACAAATGTGACAAAGCCTGATGGCAACTGTTGGGTATTTTGAACACCCTTAAGGTCAATGACTTTTCAATCTGGGGCCACATTTTGTGCTTATCAATTCAACCTCTCCCCTGAAAGCAAAGCCAATCTGACAGACAGAGAAGGCCATCTTAATATTTTCTCCAGGAGCTTGAGAAGCTTTTCCCATTAGGTTACTAGGAAGGAGGGCCAGGATTACCCTTTCTGTTCTGTCAGCACAGAACAATCGTGTATGATGTCGCTTCTGCACCACAATGTAGGTTATTCCAGGCTGGTAATCCTTCTCCAAACTGATGCAGGCTTCCCGAATGGCCAGCAGTTCATAATACAAAACCTGCAAAGGCACAAGAACAGAAGAGTTTAGTTTTCCTTCCCTTGCATTCTGCACCCAACATCTAAAAACGGTTTGTAGTTCACACTGAGTGCAACTTTACCGCACAATTAGCAATCTTAGGAAGTACTTAGAAATATATTGTTTCCCAAGTTCTAAGACCACTCCTTCCCAAACAGGAAAGAAGTTGCAACTCTTCTTACCCAACAGGCTTAAGAAATTATCTCCTTAAAACTCTCAATTATTTTGTGCAAGCAACTCAAACTGTAGAGCTACTGAAATACGAGAACTGGAGTTACCAGGTGGAGTTACACAGCCCTTCAGGAAACCCACAAAGGAACCAACCTGTCGAAACTGCCCTTCAGAGACCCCGTCCCTATAGAAGATGATGCGTGTGGGCTTGAACCGTGTGGACTTGTAGAACTGGATGAGCAGCTCCCTCACCATGGAGGCCAGGTCCTGGATGATCTCCTGCCGGGGCCGCTGCACTCTCACCGTGGCACAGTACCGGCTCGGGTGGGCATCCATACTACCTACAACCTGCAGGGGAACATTCCATGGGTAAAAGCTTCAAGAGCAACACACACACACAAAATTAAAACAGAAAAAAAAGCCAAGCAAAGAAATTTTCAAATACAAATGTTAAGAAAAGTCTGAAGTACAGAGCAGTGGTTTTATTTTGAAGACATGATTTTTAATGTAATCAGAAACGTGCACAAACAACTGGCATAAGCCCTGAAAGACATGTCATAGAATAGTAAATGTAACTCGTGGACTATATTTAACATTCACCCAAGATGAAACCAGTGCTGGTTAAACAAAACTTACAGCAGCTATGGAAGGCTTCTTTCCATCTCCAGCAGGAGGGTGAGTGACATCAGCTCCCAAAAAGATCACTGGCTGCTGGAACACAGAAGGTCTTCAAAAAGAAAAAAGTGCTAAGTCACACTTGTAGCTGAACAGCTGGCACAAGGTTATTGCTCAACATGGGGTTTTGCTTCTGTTTCAGCTAAGCTGCACAGAGAGACCTTCTTATCAGGTACTCTGGCCAACCCTAAACAATGAAATCTTTGTGCATAAGATGTGAACTTTGAAAGCACCATGGGACAGAAAATCCTGCTACTTAACTGTGCTGAGTTCCTAGTGGAGAAAAGCCACAGAGCTACACCTGACAGCACAGACAACTCCTTACAGAAACCACCATCCGACAGTGGGATGACACTGGGGTCAACCAAGCACCCCTCTGGCATTGCATCAGCCATGCAACAAATGGCTGGGTGCAGGAGCACCCACATTATCCTGGCTTCTGGAATTTAAGCAGCAGGATAGTCTCCCAACTTTTGATTTCAAGCTCTCAGGAAGTCTCAAGAAAGAATTCTTAAGACACTCCAGAAGTTTTTCTGGATTGCTACCTCACATTCTGCACATTTCCACTCAAAGAAGAGACACTCTAGCAAAGGTCAGAGTCAAACTGAATTTCTAGTCTTCAGGACCAAAAGAGCTGTGCTTCTCCAGAATGATCCACATGAGAAAGATGGGTGCACACGTGGGTTGGGCTTCTCAAACCTTGTGGCATCAAAGCAATTGCAGGACACGGAGCAGAGAACAGCCACACACAAAACAGTCAGTCTCCACAGAGGTTCTTACCGTTGATGAGGTACAAGGATGTTGTTGATTCCTCCCAGTTTAACATTGATCTTCAGGCACAGATTTGACAGGGTCTGTGGTGATGTTTTAATGACATTCTTGACTTGCACACACTGTGTGGCCATTCCCAGCAGTGTATCTCCCACACGCTTCACCTCCGCTGAGAAGCAAATTTTAGGATACAACATTTGAAATGGTGGCTATTGCCGACGGAATGTTTTCATCTCAGCTTAAGTAGCAATAAAGTCAACACACACACACTGCAAAATGATTTTTGAACAGATTTATCAGCACAACGTGTGAACAGACAGGTACAGACAGGTATTCCCTCACCATACACGGGTGTTTTCCCTGGCAGGATGACAATGATGAGCTGAAGGCCCGAATAGGTGTTCTTGAGGTGTCGGAACATGGGCTCCACACTGTCTGCCCCCTGGGCGTACTTGCAGAAGCAGGGCTGGCCCTGGATGGGCATCCCCGCGTCCTTGGAGATCTTGCGCAGCTGGTCCGTGAAACCCCTGCAGATGAGAAGGCTTTTGAATTTTTGCAGTAGCAACAGCACGTGACTACCAAAGCAGAAGAGGACAGAACAACTCTGTTACTCAAATGAAGACAACGCCAAATAGCTTGTAAAGCAGCATTTAAAACCTGTTCATTATGTGGAGGCTGCACAGCTTTGAAACATCAGAGGCCAAAAGGGAGGGGAAAAAGTTTAGATGCCTTTAGTGCTTCATTCAGGACACCAGAAGGGACTACACATCAAGCAGCAATGTTCCAGGACCAAAACCCCATGGTGTAACCAGGTTCAGGGTTTTGACTTCCAGCAAGGAAACAAAACAGTTTGGGCTTTCCCCCTGACACCTTAGGTGATTAAAGCCAGGTAAACACTCAGGTTTCCACTAAGATGGCTTCATTACGAGAACAGTCCAAAGCCTGAACCATGACATGCCTTACTTCAGTATTTCTTCTCTGCATTGTCTCTGTGTTGCAAAGCAAGCTATAGCCCACATTTTGATCTCAACACCAGTGTGAAACTGCTTCCCTCTCATGTCCCAGACCCCATGGCTCGGGGTCGCCACCGTTCGATTCTGCGGAGACAGAAAAACACCAAAATTGAAGCAGCAGAAAATGCCTCTATTTTACAGCTTCCAGGTAACAAAAAGTTTACCATTCAAACTGATCTCAGTATTGAACAGTGAACAGACTGCACCAGCTCAGGAAAGCACTAGTCTGAGGAGAAATAGAAGCCAAAGGCTCACCCGCCCTCCGTACTGCAGCATGGGGGCCGGCAGCACCCGCCCCGTCACGTGCGCCATCTCGTCCCGGACCTTGAACTGGAACTCTTGAACAAACGGATCCGCATCGTAATTTGCACTTCTCACCTGGAAGAAGAGTTTTTCTGTATTACAAAAGCATCTCATGATCATTCATATAATGAACAAAAGACCAACAGTAATGCTGAAGTGTCCTGCAATTCCCCTCGTCATTGAAAAAGGCTGATTTAACTGCTCAAGCCAACCAACCTATGCCCACTGAAAACAATTGATATAATGAGATACATTTGATGAGACTTTTTTGTTCCCTTACTTTTGTTCCATATTTCTGAGTGCTGGGCTCGTACTATTATTGCAAGCTATTGTAAATAAAACCTATTTTAGAGAACAGCAAAAACCTATGAAGTTAAGGGGTTAGAAGAAAGGAATGACAAGACTCAGCTAGTCACATACAAAGTTTTCACATTGAAGTGGTCTAATCCAGTGTCACTGAGTAAGAAGTATCACAATTAACTGAAATTAAAGAACTAACCAATCTGCTTATCTCCTCTTGCCTATCTGGAGCAGATCTCGCTGTGGCCTTTATCATAGTTGATGTCTGATTGTCCGTTAGCTTCTTGATGCACCGCTGGCCAGCTACAATGTTACAGACCTTGAAGGGAAACCAGAAGCATCAGCACACAATGGGAGCACACAGCACAGTGCTGTCACTGCAAAACACACCCCCAACCTGCTTAAGCAACTGCATATTCTCTCTCGTAGTTCTAAACTTTAAAGCACTTCTTAAAATGTAGATAGCCTTTTGTGAGATAAAATAACACCAAGCATGTAAATAAGCAAACATGCTTGTTGCAAAGTGCACTTAATGCTTTGCAAAACAATCCAGCCCACCAGTGACAAGTTGATTAATCAGAACATGTTCATTACTTCTAAAGGCAGGTAGGTGTGTTTCTGTTCTTGTCCCACTTGCAGGCAAGGAAGATGAGGGTACTTCAGCTGGAGGTTGTATTTCTCTCTGAAATACTGTGCTACTGTTCTCTCCACAGTCTGGCCATTTTCTAACTGCAAAGGAAACCTGAAAGGACATGCATTTGAATAAGATGTACAGAATTCTTAGTTGGCAAGTATCAGTAACCCTCAAATTAATGAAATATTAGGTCCTGTTGCACATTCAGTGTTAAGCTATCACACATTTCATGCTGACAAAAAGCATCTTACGTTTGATGACTCGCTGGCCGCCTGGTCACGTTACACACACGGTATTTCCTTCTCATCGTTCCACAGTGAGTCACTTCTACCTTTAGACCTGCACAAAGGTACCAAAAACCCTCATGTCTACACAAAATTTTGCACAGGAGACACAACGGTCCTCATAATAGAACATGTTCTAATCCAACAGCTTTGATGGTCAGAGTCAAACAGCAGAACATAAGAAATCATTATTCTCTCAACATTTTTTCATTATAATTTGATTTGACTAATCAGGTATTATCCTCAAAAACAAATCATAGTGTATAATATTTAATGTTCAATGTCATCTGGATTTCTTGTAGCAGTTTCATTTCACAGGCATGTGACTAATCTCAGACACAGGCTGCTTCCACCATTCTGTTCTCATTCCCAGTGCTGCACTCCTCCAACACCAGCAGCTCCAGTGTAACTGACATTAAATAGGCAAAACTAGATTTCTACCCTATTGCTCATTTTTTCTCCCAACTTTGTGTTCTCATTCAGCCTGTAATTTTCTTTAATTTCACTGACCAAGTTTAACTTTAGATTTTGAGCAGCTGAAGATCATGGCTAAAGCACCCAGCCAAACACCACAGCCTCACCAGACCTGCCCCTCTCCACAGTAATGACAGCAAGGAGAGCAGCTCAAGAGGCTTTTTGTGGCTATTTCTGTCAACTGTGCTCACCCTGTCTGTGCTGTGCATGGAGCAGACTCAACAGCTGCTGAAGCACTAGGCTTATCACCCAAGGGCTGCACACTATCAGCACAGTTATGTTTTTCCCTCGGCCCACGGAAGAGAAGGCAGTTGTGAAAACAGAGCCTTGTTGCCCAAAAGATTCAACCTCCAGCACACTATGAAAGGCTCTGGACAAGGCAGCTGGATGACTTGTCCTCTTGAGGCTTGTGTGGATTGTGGACCACAGACTCAACATCCCACATCAGATCAGGTCCCCAGGTATCAGACTGCAGACACCATGTTTGGTTTTCCAGGGACACAGACATCCCAGAGAAGGAGCAACCGTGCTTCATGGACTCCTGACAACACTAACTGCACCACTAACATCAGTATTACTTGCAGGATGGCATAACTGTAAATAGTGCCCTGATAGAGCATTAGGAGAAAATACAAAGAAAGAAACCACGAAGCACTGGGGCACAGCAGAAGAGGGCTGTGACCAGAGACACCTGGAGCCCGTTCACTGCCTTGTCATTAATCTGCTGTGACACCAGAGGCACTGCCCTCCCAGAGCTGCTAACTGCCAGTTCCTTAATGCAGGGTTTGTGTCACTGTGGATGATCACAACATCTTGCCTGCAGTTCCCAGATACTATAGTAGTAAAAATAAATATTGACAGCAAAGGTAACCTTTCAATACTGTCTGATTATGGGAGCAAAGTGTTTGTGGCATCCAACAGCAAAGAGATGCAGCTTCTCATTCTCAGTTACCAGTCTTCCAGAACAAAGACAGACAAGCAGATGCAAAAAGGAGACATGTTAGAATTACTACAAAATAATTCCTTTTTTCCCCCCTAATGACTATTCTGTGCACACACTGGTTTATGACTATAGTTGGAATTCACTTTTCCTGCCCAGCATTTCAGTAGAGTCTAATCTTGCATCAAGTAACACCAGTGTTTAAGGGCAGAACTTTGAAGAGATGAGCTCTTTCAAGGCTTCTCTCTCTGCAAATTACACTGGAATGAGAAGGTAAGAGAAAATGCAAACTAAAGTAGCATATATGAAGAGAAACCACTCAAACCAGCAGCTTATGCAATTCATTTGGAATGGAATTTGGCCTTCAGTTGCAGGTTAGCAGGCAGTGCTTGTTTTTCCTTAAGGCAATCAGTTACTAGAAGTCCCTGCAACAGCAGACTTCCCAAGAACCCATGATGTCAGCTTTTCAATTCATTTGCACTCTGCCTCAGTACTTGAGCAGTGGGAGAACCAGAGCACAGCCCTGCTCTGGACCAGCCACCCAGCCAGGTGACAGCCACTCACCTGGGCCCAGGCAATAAACA